AGATGGCTGTTTCTCCAAAAGAATTTCTCTAATACCAGAATATAAAATATGCTTACAAACAAAACTGTTTAAACTATGAGGCACTTACCTTTATGCTCTGTTAAAAAAACTCATAATCTTTTGATTTATATTATATGATTTAACCTGTTTGTCACTGATGATGATTTCTTGAGGTCGAAACGCGTTTGGCATTAGTGTCCTTCAAAGTGTATCAGTATTGTTTGTATGCGTGTTTTATATTCCAATACACTACACGGTATGGAAGGTTTTAAGATCTCTAATACCCCTTTAAAACAAAGAAAAATCTTTACCTTACCTATATATATATATATATATATATAGTAACAAAAATGTCAGATAAAATATGATTCTCTTCAGGCACTCAAGGGCAGTGTGTGTACACCCCTTGCAAATGTGAAGGGACCAGAGCTTTCAACAAAACCCAGCTTTCAAAATGAACACGCTTTAATACTCAACAAAAGGGTTCATTTTAGCCAACCCCTTCCACGTTATGGATATGTAAAATATGACAGGTAACTGGCGAATAAGACTTGTTCCTTTCATAATTTCGAATGGTTTGCCCCTTCTCTCAACGAAGTTCTGTTTCAGGCTTCATATTTATTAATTGAATATTTAAAATGTACTGTAAATATTTAAACAGAACGTAAAAACCTTTAATTGTCATTTAAATAACCACACGAATTATAAGAGTACGTAACTCAGGGTACTGACCGCTGGCGGGCTCTTATGAACACGGTTTGAACTTCCATATTCCATAAAAGCCTGAATTTCTTGACTAGCTGAGCAACTATCATCTTCACGGAATTCGTTAAGCAACATTTTTAGTGTTATTTTATGTTAAAATATTTTAAACTACAATTTTTAATTTATATCGATAAATCCATCGAATATGACGTCATTCGAGAAATTACTGCGTATTTAACAACGCTTCATTAACCTCGTTGTTTATGTAGAACAGATTTTTGGATACGGCATTGGATATCTGTGAAATGAAGTGGTCGTGGCACATTTTAGAGTCACAGTTTTTGACTGGAATAACTGGGAATATTTCTCATAAACTAGTTTCTTGATTTCTTTCGTAATTTAATCAATGCATCTAACAATTGTGACGGTAAATTGAAAGGAATTATAACAGGAAGATATCGATAAATGTATGAAAGTTGCATATATTATCTGTTGTACCCACGTTTCTTTGTAATTATCTTTTTAGAGGCGAATATATCAGGATTCAGAACCTGGGAGAAAAGCCGATCACAATGCCAATTCACTTTGTTGATAGAACCACCGAAACCGGCCGTAGTCTTTCAATACCCGATAGAGGGCACAACAAGTAGCTTCTGCTCATAGTACCAAGAGTAGTCGATAGAGTGCATCATCTACCGCATTATACTATGGAGTATTACGAATGTCCGAACAACAGTGATATTACACATCCTTTCGTATTTAATAGAACTGTTTACATTTTGCTAATTCGTTGCAAGAATTTAAAACATAAGGAAGTAGTATTACAAATTTCCGGTATTGAACTGACAAAATTATTATAGACAGAAAATAAAGACTGGGATATGGAGCGTAAGTGAAATACATAGATTAAATATATTATTTCCTATAAATTAACCTCGGCGACTGGTTTAAATAGTGTTTCCTACGAGTATAGGGCATCTATTGGACACATCTTCACGTGATGTTTCAGCATCGCTGTGATTGGTGTGACGTCACAGTAGAATCTCAAGTGGAACGTACGAAAGATTTTTTTTGTGAAATTGAAAATACGTGAAATTTACTCCGTAATAAAACACATAAAACCAAATATAAGGTATTCATATCCAATAGGACTGTAAAATACATTATAAATTAATGTAATTTATATATAATACTGAAATTAAAAGAATGGTATAACCTCATTATTTGAAGGGGGATTAACTTGTAGGCGTCTAGCAATAATATTATTGATATTTGTAAAATGAACGTCACTCCTGCTTCATTTTTAGGGTTCCCGGGTTCAAATCTCCCCTGATACAAGTTATATCGACTGAAGATTTTCGTGGTTTCCTCAGCTCCTGCCGAGACATGCAAATAAAAATAGGCACTCTCTTATCGTAATATTCTCCCTAGTCTAGACTTGCTGTTGACTGGAGTGTGAAAGCACGTTTAAAAAATACGTTAATCATGCCATTGTTAAATCCACTCCGATAAGAAACTTTGCGGAGAAATCAACTTACAAAGACTCCTAGACGAAATAAATCTCTTCGTTTACTTTTCCTGGACGAGCTGTCTGCCTTGTCGCACGAGCGACCTTTCACACAGGACGCGCTGTAACGTCAACATCAGAAACATTATTTAACAGATGCAAAAAAAAAACACAGTACGGACGGACGCTTGCATTGTGTTACAAAAATTGACCCACGTCTAGCATTAAACCGATATCTTACCACAAGTATACACTATTATATGATGTCAATAATGGAGCAGCATGTTTTAATCACGTGATACACGGCAGAAACAAGGAGAGATTCAACGTAGAAGCGCGAACAGGTTATCAGCCTGACCATTTATTAGTCAGTTTCGTTTCTTGCTGAACGTAAAAACTTTGGAAGGCGGCGCGTGGCCTTACGTTGTGGATAGATTGAATGTAAATGCATTTATGGTTTGTGAATAATATAGTGAGATAAAATTTGTGCGTGTTTATATGGTTCTTATTTTAATATGGTTGGAAGAAAAAGACGTTTTAAGCGTCGTAATATTGATGATAATTTATACATACCTTCAACATATCCAAAGAAATTAAATTCAGTTTCTTCTGAGAACGTCCTTGCTGTTCGGAGAAGCACCAGAGAAAGGAGTAAGTACCACAAAAAAGTATCCATTTGAATATATTACTTCTCGAACGTCAAGTAAATATATGTAGGCCTTAGAACTGTATTCCATGCAGATTAATTAATAAACACGTAATACATAATAATAATAATAATATGCTCGCAAACCTGCTAACCTGACGAGTTTGTTCGTGATTTTCCCAGTTTATCAAAAAAAACCCACCGGAATAGTGCAATAAATTAGGCAACGACCACTTCCTGCAATATCGATTACAATTAATTGTTTATTCGATGCTATATATTCTGAGCTATCGATGGCGTCATTAAATAAATAATCAATTATTAGTCAAAATATTCATTAGTTCGCCCCCCCAGTGAAAATATTTAGATCGAAAATAGAGGAAGCAGCGGGATTTTGAAATAAATACGTAAAAAGACGTTTCGTCAGTTCCATGCTTGGCCGGATGTCTTCAAGGTGAAAACAATAAATGACAATAAGGTGGAGAGGACATGTAGTACACAAGGAGAGAGAAGAATTTTGTATAAAATTCTAGTCGAAAATCATGAAACTCCCTGTGAGGCATAGGCAAAAATTGGAAGATAATATTAAAACGGACCTTAACAGAAATCGGGTATTTTCATTCCGGAGGTTATGGGCATGAATCTTGGCTCAGAGAGCAGCAATTATGATGGCTTTGTCCTCGTTTCCCTCAATTCATAAAGGCAATCTTTAAATCAGGCCACGACCACTTCCCTGCACAACATTTACAACTGATTAATTTAATCTTTCTTATTCGCATAATTTTCAATCAGCCTCATCTCTACTTCTCTTACGTGGTCTACCAGTCTTCCCTCTTCCTTCCATTTTAGTTGTCCTAATGTTAACGCCATCTGTCAGAGATTTTATAAATTTTACAATATAATACATCCTTGTCTCCTTATTAGTTTTATTTTCCAGCTTTTCCTTAATTTATGGGACGAAAAATTTCTCTAATCATCCTTCTTTCAAATATTCTAAGGGCCCTTATTTTTTGTGAAGTCATTGTCCAAGTTTCTGACCCCGTAACTTAGAATAGATTGTATTAGGTTTTGAATATTGTTAATTTAGAGTTTTGGGATAAAATTTAGACCAGTGCACAATAATCATGGTTTTCTATCATAATATTAAAATGAATGTCTTTCCACATTTTATTTCCATTGTCTATAACTGATCCCAACTTTCAACATCTTCCAAATTAAAATCACATATAATTAAGTTTTGAGGTTATGTTCTTGCTTGTAAAGAGGACATTTTTAGGTATTCACATTTTGCTTCATTAATTTATAAACTCATTTTCCTTCCCTCGATTTCCAGTGCAGATAATAATTACTTTTATGCTGAAATATTTCTTGTAACCAAGAAAAAACATCATCAACATTAGCACAAATTTGTTTCGATTTGTAAATAACATTTCCCTTTCCTTCAGTTCCTTATTATTTTTTCTGGTTTTCCATAACATTCTAAAGCTATAAATAATTTATTTCTATATATTCTGTCAAAAGCTTGCCTGAAATAAATAAATCTCTGTATTATATTCATAGCATTTTTTCATCATCTGCCTCGTTACCTCTTTAATGTGTGTAATAAGTCTTTGAAGAATAATATATGATACAATTTTGTATTTCAAAATTAACTATTACATTGAAACTTGTCCCTTTTCTTAAAAATTGGGCATAACCCCACCTCATTACCAAAAATATTAATTTATATATTTTTCCCAAGAAGACTTAACAGCCATGTTTTGTTAATTCATCAGTAAAAGAATCTTCATCTGGAGCCTTATTATTTTTTTTTTAAATTTTAATATTGTACTTCGTCTAAAGCATGAAAATCAAGGACTGCAGTGCAGCGCGGTTAATATTTTAATTACTTCTTCAAGCATCTACACCGTTCTTACTTAACGGTTCTTCAAAATGCTCAGCTCCCATCTCGAGGACACGACAATATCATTTAATTAATTAATCTGGTTAATACCCTCCAGGTACCTTTATAAATAATCTTACGGTAAAACCAATTACTCATTGCCATTAAAATGTTCATTTCAGCAAACTGAACTAACGGATTACAATTTTCACTAGTTTCATTATATATATATATATATATATATATATAGTGTACTTACCTGCAACTTGTGGTACAAATTTCATAATTTTCACTTAATTTGGTGCCAAGTTGTTATGGAGGAGCCTTGTGATTTCACAAAACTAATTTTTTTAGATACAGAAAAAAGAATGTAGGCTGGATATAATCCTCGACTGTTCTGTTCGTTGTAATGTCTTCTAGAACCAACTGTGAAAAGGAACATGATAGAAGAATATATAGACGACATTTTGTGTTCGCTCAGTACATCTTTTGAGACTGAAAGCACATCAGAAATGGATGTGCCCTCGACATCAGGTATCCCACCTAAAGAACGCACCAAACGTGGCACCAGGAAGAGGTCCTTTGTATTTACTGGCCCAGGTAAGACCTTTTGCCTCCCAAGAGAGTAACTTCAAGTTAGCGATGATTTTGCTGATTTTCCTGTGCCATCATTTTCAGGTTTTAAATTTGTAAACACAAACTTAGCTGTCTTACAAATGCCTGTTTTTTATTTACAAGAATTTTAATGCGCAGAAAAGTTTGAAAAATAAATATAGCATTTAATCAAAATCTGAGTTCCTTGCGAAAAGACGGTCATGACAGAGAATTTTTACAGCTTCAGCAGCTGGTCACATTTAAGGGCAATTTTACAATAATTTATGGCCTCTTCCTAATGTAGCTCACATATTATTTTATTTACATTTAAAACAAACTTTTTTGTGGCCAACTTCAGATTTAATTCAAGTATTATTGTTAATTTGAGTCCATAATGACATAATTGTTTCTCATCCACCTGGACCTAAACCTATAAGCCAATCCCCAAAATATTTTTATACTTTTACCTCTGTAATGCGACCGTAAATTAAGATAAGTTGAGATTGCATTAGTATAATAAAAGTAGCATTTATTTCTTTCATAAGACTCTGACAGAAGACCGATTCATAAGTCCTTACACAAAATTTCATTTTGACTCTTGGGTCAAATTTCTCCCAAGAAAAGAGAGAGAGCAGGTTCTGTCAGATACAGCAAAACTAACAAGTTAGTTGCTTCTGGAAATAACTTACCAGATAATTCAGAAAAATAATGAAATAAAAAAACCTTGTCGATTCAGAAGTCATAAATGTCGTATTAATGAAGGAGCCATCTGTCAGTGAATGGCACTGTAATACTCAGGATGGTTTTATTCAATGTATTTTGAAAAAAACTTTTTTATAAATCAAGTACAGGCTAATTTGGATTTTTCTGAAAATTGTATTTTGCAGTAAATAAATCTGTACTTCTCCTTCTATGGCTCTCCGGTCCGTATTCGGTCCACGGCCTCCTCAATTCTCCTCTTCCATTCGGTCCTCTGTTAAGTCCATCTGTCCGAGGCTTTGATCGAGGTTTCGAAACATCTTCCTTTTTACAGTGCAAGGTTGTTAGCCTTGCGACCAACCCCCAACCTGGAGGACCAGGGTACGTGTCTTAGTCTGACTTCTCCCGCTTGACCAATCTGGCTAGGGAGGCCCTACCAGTAGCTTTTGGGGTCACTGAGTTAGTCAAGCCCCACCACCACGACAAGGTGAAGGTACCATTAAGTGGGGAAATCTGTACTACACTGCGCTATTTAAGAAAATTGTTCTACTGTGTATTAAGCAAGATATGTTTTATATAAATGAGTTATTCACATTTAAACTGAAATGACAGACAGAATACAACAGTTTCTTAATAACTCTGTTGATTAGAGCATTTCTTAAGAAGCTAAAAGTTGCTCAGCTATCCTTTATGGAATCAAAATGTTTGTTACCATTTACCAAGAACTTGACAGTAATTACAAGCCAGACAAACTCAATAATACTCTTTAAGATCCATTTTCACTTTCCTCCCATGCATTCCTAAGATTTCCAAGATGTCACTTTTCTTCGGGTTTTTCAACTGAAATTGCATGTATTTGTGCATTTCTCATCTCTACCATCGTCGGTACTATCAATTTTTGGACGGGATGAGACAAAATGTTATGATAACCAGATTAGCTCACACCAACGTCCATTAAGTTCTGATCTTTTAAACAGCACTACAAATGTCCACTATTAGAAAACACCTTTAATTTTTGCAAAAATTCAGTTGCATAACCATTAACTGTTTTGTGAATATTTCATTACCCACTAATATTAAGGTGGCCTAATTTAGACACAAGTATAACTACAGTGGGATGGTGTCTGCCCCACTTAATGGTACCTTCACCTTGTCGTGATGGTGGGGCTTGAGTACCTCAGTGACCCCAAGAGCTACTGGTAGGGCCTCCCTAGCCAGATTGGTCGAGGGGGAGAGGTCAGACTAAGACAGGTACCCTGGTCCTCCAGGTTGGGGGTTGGTCGCAAGGCTAACAACCTTGCACCGTAAAAAGGAAGATGTTTCGAAACCTTGATCAAAGCCTCGGACAGACGGACCGAATGGAAGAGGAGAATTGAGGAGGCCATGGACCGAATACGGACCGGAGAGCCATAGAAGAAGGGATAGTGTCTGAAATGTCATTATCATCAATGTGTGCATCTACAGATCACCTATGCCAGTTCTTGACAGAGCTATGAGGTCAAATAATTGTGGCTCTTCTAGTCTACGAAACAACGCTACAGAGCAGACAGGAGGAATTTCAATACCGCTAGACATTTGCTGTGTACATTGCGGTGCACATAGTAAAAACATACAAGAAG